CCGTCTATATAGGTGAACAAATAAGCTCGAAATGTACGAAAATAAAAAAAATAGTAGTGTGGCTGCTGGGATTCGAGCCCAGGTCTCCACGGCCACAACGTGGAATTCTTACCACTAAACTACAGCCACTTTGTTGTTGTATTAGGCTACAAAAAATATTAAATAATAAAAAAATAATAAAAAAACCGACAAATCAATTTAAGATTTTATGGCTTAATTTATTTAATGGTTTTATTAGATAGAGGAGTGTAATGAAAAAAAGAAAGTTTTTTTTTCAGATTTACCGGCGTAATATTAATGTGATTACAAAATATTTTTAAAAAATAAACTGATTTACTTAATTAGTAGTTTATACTCTCTTCTTTCCTTTTTACTTGTCATAATTTTCTTCACAAAAGACAATTTGATTAATTTATTGAGCCAAATTTTATATTAAATGTTTATAATTGTATAAAAATACTATAAGTTATAATTTTTCTCATATTAATAAAATTTAAATTTACATCTTATAATATTAATCAAATTTTATCAAACAATTTTACTCTTAAAAAGCAAAATATGACAAATAAAAAGTTACTACAAATTTTAACTAAAATCTGCTCAATCATGCGTACAGGTAAATGTGTACCAAGAATGAAGTCATAAAATATTTTAAAATATACCAACTATTGGACTCATGTGACCTACTAGTATCTTCAAATATAATAAAAAGAGATAATATTCGAAAATACATCTAAATTAATAGAGTTTTATATTTTAATTATTAATTATTTTCTATCTAAATTATCATCAATTATTATTATTTTTGTTTGAATCATTAATATTTATGTATTAAAAATTACCGGGTTAAGTCGATGGTGCATTGATAATATTTAGCTAGGATGGGGAAGCAACTAATATTAAATCAAAAATTTATTTTTGTAAAGATAAATAATTTAAGTAGATTCATATGTTGCAAAAAAGTGAAAAATATCAAAAAAAATAATAATAAAATAAAATCAATTCAATCCTAGCAAGACAAGTTGCCATTGTCACTTTAGCAACTCACTTTAGTTGAAAAATAAATAAATAAATGTGATATTTAAAAAGACAGTTTCTAAATTCATTCTTCCTAAAATAATGTCTAAATACATTTGAAATTCATTCTTATAAAAATACTAAGTAATATCTAAATCCATTAATCTTTTAAGTTTTAATAGTTTTCAGAATGAGTCTTTACTCATTTCATTTGTTAAGTTATTATGATTTTTATTTGTCTTAATAACAAATGAGCCTACTCATTTCATTCACTAATTAAGATATTAAATAGCAATTATATTTTGTAATTGTGGAAGTGAATATTGATTATTTGATCATGAGCCAACAAGACATTGATTCATAACCCCTATATATATATATATATCAATAATACATTTATTATAATCTCATATATAAAGAAGAAGAACATATAAAATATTTGCGGACACACTACTCTTATCTATGTTAATATGTGTGTGTGGGACAATTGAAAAATGAGATTCAAAAAATGGATTGTTTATTTTATTTGTTATTATTTCATAAATCTAATTTTTATCTCACAATTTGATCAACTTGTCATTGATTTATTTTTATCTCATAATTTGATCTAACTTGTCATTTTTATATTTGGGGAGCAAACATAACAATTTATTCGAATTAGATATTTATATTAAATCAATATATATATCTGGTACAAATAACATGTTAAATATTTACATAAAAAATAAAAAAAACAAAGAGAAAAAAAATGAAAATAATTAAATTCACTACGAGAAGGTTGGAATTTTGAAAAGCACACGTCATTTACATAAAAACGAAGTTAAAATTCTATATTATGGCAAAACTCAAGTTATTTTCATCAAAATTCTATATCATTGTGTAATAATTAACAAAATCCCTCTATATAAATATATTTATCCAATTAAATATACATGTTAAACAAAGCCACAAGGAATTTTAATACTATATGTTGTTTTTGGGTACCCCTTACTCACAAACCAAATTGTCTCTTGGTTTCTACGAAAAATATATATGATTGATTCAATGTTTACTAAGTTCTTGTCAACTAATGATAAGCTTTTATATTTGCTTTTTTAATAGCTTGCTATTGAGATCAAGATAATGTTGCATAAAGTATTAGCATTATTTTTCCTATTTAACAACTTTTTAATTTAAATAATTAGTATTTGTCACTATTAAGTTGAAGTGGACAATGGTTGAAAGATATATATATCTGAATATTGTTATAAAGCAAACATGCTTGGATGTTGACATGCACCGTAGGTTGAAAGTAATGCGACGGATTGAATTGAATTTGGATGAATGAAAATAAATTAAATTAGTAGATGAGTAGGTCATTCGATGAGACAGATCAAGATAAGTTAAATAACAGATTATTGACCTAAAATTGTTGATATAGTTTCTTGATATTCCATCGCTAAATAAAATTAATGATACATTTTGTTGTTTAAATTACTACATTTACCCATCGTTACTTCCTTTTTTTCAATAATGTTTATGAAGTCCGATATATACAACTAACAATAAACATATCTAGTGTAAATCATAGGGTCTTGGGAGAGTTATGTATACTCAGCCTTACCTTTGCTTTGAAAAAATAAGAAATTGTTTTCGATAAATTCTTAGCTCAAATACAACACATCAACATCAAGTATTTTAAAAAAGCCTAAAATTTTTTAAGGGAAAAAGGACAATATACCACCGACTATCATAAATGGTATGAAGATATTCTCCTTCATACTTTTGGGATGTCGATGTCTCTGTCATCCAAAAACTAGATTATATATACTCTTTATACTAAAAGACATACACTTGTCATGATCTTATCCACCGATCAGATCGATGGATAAGATTGTATCACGTGCCCCTATTTAGTCTTCTGTTAGAGTGAAGGGTATATATGCTCTGTTTTTGGATAGCAAGTACATCAATGTTCAAAAAGTATGATGGAGGATATCTGCATACCATTTACGATAATTCAGGGATATATTTGTCCTTTTTCCCTTTTTAAATAATATTTTTCTTCTTCCTCCTTCAACTTGATATATATATATATGTCCTCTCCAAAGCTACATTGTATCTATAGTTTCAAGCAAAATGAATATTCACAAAAAATACCTACAATGTTTGTTCTTCCTTATTATTATTCTAACCATTTGTGGATTTTCTTTAGCAAATAAAACAAACCCCGCCTCAAAAAACCTCAACTTTAGTAAATTCTTGAATTCAATTTATGAATGGAGAATTCAACAGAAGAAAAACTTTGGAGATTCCAATAATAATAATCTAAAAATTGGAGCCCCTACTGTGTTAGCTGGAATTTTTTGTTTTATTGCAGCCTCTATTTCTAGTGCTGGTGGAATTGGAGGTGGTGGATTATATGTACCAATTTTAATAATTGTTGCTGGTGTTGATCTCAAAACAGCCTCAAGTTTCTCTGCTTTTATGGTAATGTTTGTTCCGAACCGTGTGACTATTTCATTTAATTCGTTTAGAGAGTATATTTTTATTTACTTAATTATTTTACGTCTTAATATATTTGTTCACGTGTTGCTTGATTCCTATTCATATGTCAAATTTTTCGAAATACCTTGTTCTTTTTCTTGGGGGGTATCTAGCAATGAGATTTATTATCTGTTTGGTTTAGTTTTTTAGTCGAAATGCTTAAGAAAAGTTGAGATGTTTGACTAAGCTTTTAAAAAAAAAGACATTTTTGAGTAATAGGTCAAAATTGTTTTTAAAATTGATCATCTAAATACAAATCATCCTTCAAAATACTTTTTTGAAATAAAATATATAAAATAATACTTTCTTTTTTAATAAGCAGATTTTGAAAGTTTACCCATACATATAAACTCGAAACTTCATGCATTATCCCTGATATGCATGTTTGATTAAAAGTTTGATCTGTTTTGAAGAGCACAATTATATTATATTTCAACACGCGTGATTCCTTTTTATACATCAAAATGTTCTATTTCTTTATAACAATGAGATTTAAATTGATATATGTTTTTTACTTATTTTAATATCACGTTGAAGTGTATTACTTAAATTTTATATTATTATAGATATATATTTTATAATTAATTTAATTATATATTATGTCTCAACAGGTAACCGGAGGCTCGATAGCCAATGTTGTTTGTAGCATGTTCTTACCAAGTGCCAAACATGGTGGAAAAATATTGGTTGATTTTGACATAGCTTTACTCTCACAACCATGTATTTTATTGGGAGTTAGTATTGGAGTAATTTGCAATCTTGTTTTCCCAGAATGGCTTATTACTATTCTATTTGCAATATTTCTTGCTTGGTGCACTTTCAAGACATTTAAATCAGGAATTTATTATTGGAAAATTGAATCTGAAGAAGTTATGAGGAAAAAAGAGAATATTGAGGAAATTGAGGGACCTTTATTGCAAAAAGAAGAAAAAGGAATAAAAAATATTCCATGGATGAAAATGGGAGTATTAATAATAATTTGGTTTTCTTTCTTTTCCCTTTATCTTCTTCGTGGCAATCGATATGGACAAGTATGTTTCCTTCCTCTTTTGTCTTTTAATTGCTTGTTTTTATTTATGTTTTACGTAACTGATAAATTTGTCATTATGTGATTAAAAAGTTATTATTTTGAATAGTGAAAATAAGTTCTTGTAAAGTTATAAATAAGACTATCATAATCTGAGTTGCTTAGTTGGGGATAAAAGATAGTAATAATTTCAAAAAAAAATATGAATTAGTTTATCTTTTGTTTAATAAAGAAAATTTAATTAGTCTTATGATTGAAATAGAGCTATTAATTAAGGTAACATAGTTAATTAACTTTGTAAGATAATTTAACTCATTGAATATTTGAACTTGGTGATTCTATTAATTCAATGAGATGAATAACATATTAACCAATCACTAATCAAGTAACGGAAGTTTATATACGCATTACATAATATGCATTTATTAGTTTGTTAGAAATATTTAATCGTACAAATAAATTTATACATGATTTAACAAGAACGAATAAACAACATTAATTAATGGTCTAAATCTATAAATTTTAATAAGTGGCTTTAAACTTTTTAACTAAAATTTATGTCTTATTTTTATTTATTTACAACTTGTCGATAAGTGTGGATCTTTCCTTTTTGTCTTTACATGTTTTTTCCATTTAATATTATTACTTTACTTTAACTTATTTTAATGAGTCTTGTGATCTTATCTCGAATGAGTAGATTTGAATCTTAATGAAATATTTAGGTTGTATTATATCATATTAATTTATTATGATTCAAGAAATTTAATATGATGAGATCAAAGACATTAATCTATCGCAAAATATTTCAGTATTATTTTGTTATCGAATAAGATTAGCGATGAATTTTTTTATTGATCTGTCGTTAATTCTTATTTTTTTTTAATTTTTATTGTTGTGTAGGGAATAATTCATATGAAGGCATGTGGAGTAGTATATTGGATCATCTCATCAGTTCAATTTCCTCTAGCAATAATTTTTACATCATGGATCTTTTACAACAGAGAAAACCACCAAAATTTACCTTCCAAGAAACAGGTATATATTAAATAACAAAATAATATTTTAATATTAATTTACTGTCGTTTCAATTTACTTAACATGCTTTAAATGTTAGGGTTAAATCCACACACTTGATAAATTAAGAACATAAGAATTTTCAAGAGAAAGAGATGAGAGATCTAAAGAGAGAAAGAGAGAAACCAATATATCGTGGTAACATCCCGTGAGTAAACTTCCACGGCGATGGATATATATATTAATAATTCAGAGTATTTTAGGTTACAGAGAATAAATATTGCAGCCTAAAATTTTGGTCGGGGCGCTGCACCGAAACCCTCCTTCGGATGGGGGGCTCCCGCCCCCATAACCCCCTGATAACCTCACCGCAAAGATTAAACCGCGTAAACATTAATATATGACGATATATCAAATATTAATCAGGCTCCACAACCTACATTAAATCTAATACGAAATCCGATTAAAAATGAAGATCATGTATGTAATAATAAACTTTTTCGTTACAAGGTCATTTGATTTAAAATAGGAATTGTAACTTATTCCACCGTATTATTGTCAAATAAACTATAGGAAGTTAATTAACTTGTTTAATTTTGTTTATTAAATTTGTCTTATTTATGTAGGAAATAACATGTGAAACAAAGAATAATGGACCTTCAAGAATGTTCATTTTCCCATTAATGGCACTTCTAGCAGGAGTATTGGGTGGTGTATTTGGAATTGGAGGAGGAATGCTTATTAGTCCACTTTTAATTCAAGTGGGAATAACACCTGAAGTAATTCTCTATTACTCTTCTATTTATGCTAATTATTTTTCAAATTTTAGAATCTCATTTTATTTCGTATTAAGTTGTTTTTGATTTGATGGAAGTCATTTAAAAAAATAATATTTTTTTCTGAGTAAGTCATTGTTTTATTTCGTATTAAGTTGTTTTTGATCTGATGGAAGTCATTTAAAAAAATAATATTTTTTTCTGAGTAAGTCATTGTGTTATTTCGTATTAAGTTGTTTTTAATCTGATGGAAGTCATTTAAAAAAAATAATATTTTTTCTGAACTAAAAATCACTCAATTTTACCTAAAAATCGTTGGAAGTCATTGAATTCTTATTTTTATATAATAAGAAAAAAAAATACTAAACTTTGCCTAAGATATCACATGAAGTCAGTAGACACTTTTTTGCAATCAAAATGTCTGTTTTATTTTCTCTCTCTTTTAATAGCTATGTAAAGTTGAATGATTTTTTAGTTATGAAAAATAGTTTAGATTACGAAGGTAAAGTTAAGTGTTTTTTATTAAAAAAAAAAGTTTAGTAATTTAAGTATAGTGTAATAAAGTAGAAGTTGGTAACAAGTTAACCATATATATGATTATATACGCCATTATACACACAAAATATACATCCGCTGGCAACTTCTATAGCTAATTTAAGTGGTTGAGTGGACAGTATTATACCGAAAGTCTATAGGAAACAATCTCTCTGTCTCACAAAGGTAGAGGATATAGTCGATATATATCTTATCCTCTTCAGACCATACTCGTGGGATCACACTGAATATGCTATTGTTATTGTTATTGTTGTGGACGACTAGTTAGGTTAATTCCTTTTTCTTTGCTTAGTAGGACTAATAATGACATTCTTTTTTAAACAGATTACGGCAGCAACTTGTTCATTCATGGTATTTTTCTCCTCTACCATGTCAGCTGTACAATACTTATTTCTAGGCATGGAACATGTCAATACTGCCCTCATTTTTGCAATCATTTGTTTAATTGCTTCACTTATTGGATTAGTTGTGGTGCAAAGAGCCATTGAACACCATGGGAGAGCATCACTTATTGTTTTTTCAGTTGGAATAGTCATGGCATTAAGTACTGTTCTTATAACAAGTTTTGGAGCTTTTGATGTTTGGAAGGATTACACAAGTGGGAAGTACATGGGGTTCAAACCACCTTGTTAAGAAATAATAAGAAAGGGAAATATATCGAGAGTTTGTACTCGTTTGAAGCGTGCTTTGAATTTTGCATATTTTGTGCTAATTATTAACGAAGGTCAATAATCGATATTTGGTGGATATATATATTTGGTTGAATTGTGAACAAGTATTTTCTGAGTGTATTTTATTTTAAAATGATATTAAAGATGTTTTGATCTAATAAATAAAATGAGAATATTCTTTTTAGCAAAATTCTTTTAATAAAGGAAGAAAGAACAAATATACCCCTAGTCTTGAGGTGTATACATTAATATAATGTTGACTTTAGCCGCTAGTCTAAGACTTTATGAAAATAACTGATTGCTTTTTAACACTTTTCGTTGAGGATATATATATACCAATTTTTTTAAAAATGAATATATATATTCTAAATCGTAAAATTGAGTAAGATTTATTTTTTTCCTTTAATAAACTAGACATAATTTTCATATAATTCAGTATTTTTTTTACATAAACGTTCAAAAAGAGACTCAAGAAAGTTTAATAGAAAACTACACCTAACAATTATGACTTATGAAGAAAGAACTAAAATTGCTTTGAGCATTAGTGGTGATACAATTACAAAAGAGGTAAAACTATGAATCGAACATTTTAGACACATGGAGTTTATCCAATGCGTATTAAAATTCTATTAATAATCATAAAAAAAAAATACTAAATGATTTAGCATGACATGATGGATTAAAAAGCGAGACAAAGGACTAAATTGAATATTCATTTATAATAAAAGGGCATATTGAAGAATATTTTTTTATATATATTAATATATTATCAATTCAAGTTAACTCGTATTAAGAAGTGATCATTTCATTTCAAGTTATCATATAAATCATAGTATAAAGGATTAATAACTGTAAAAATTTTGCATTTCCAAATGTGAGTTTACTTCCAAAAGAAAAAAAGAATTATCGATGGAAAATTATTTATAGCTAAATAAAAAAAATTCGTTATTGATCCTGTTTAAATATTAGGCATAGATCAAAGGTGCTCAATTTTGCAAATGTAAAGGACAAAACTGTTAAAAAATATACTTAAGTGACCATTATGTCATTTTCTCACAAGTATCAATACTGGTTAATTTTTAGTCCTATAAATACAAGCCTTCCATAAAGGAAGCAAAACATCAATATTTTACAAAAAAATAATAATTAAGATGGCCTCATTTAAGCTCTTCATTGCTCTCTTTGTTGCAATTTTAGGTTCTAAATTTTTACCACTCTTCTCCCATTTAATTAGTATATATTTTTTTCCGATGTTTTATTTTCTTTTTTATCCTGTTATAAATATTTAGACAATTGATATTTTTATACAAAATATCAATATGCACTATAAGAAAACTGTGGGGATTTTCTTGGGAAATAGTATGAAAATTTGCAGGAAAATAAGTTTTCTGCGAGTTTTTCATACTAATCCTCATGTAGTTCACAGTTTTCTTGCAGTAGTGTATATATATTAATAGCTAATCAAATCGTTGTTACGTTTAAAATGTGCAGTTAATCTCTCTTGGACTCCAAATAAGATGCAAGTGATGGCGTTACGAGATTTACCAGTTAATGTTGCTAAGATGAAGGGAAAATTACTTGGACTTGGTGATATTACTACTTGTGGGATGGCTTGCAGTGGTCGTAGCGATTGCAAAGAAGGTTTTATGTGTTCAGATTGTGTTAAAGTTGGGACCTTATTTGCTCAATGCATATAATACAATCGCGCTATTATCAATAAAATATTTATGAAACACAGATTATTATTGCACGTAATGGATGGATTATTAATTGTTCGATATGTCTTTATGTTTATTCAAAGCATTTTAAATAATGTTGTATTTGCGAAGTTGTGCTAAGATAATAAATATGTAACCTTATAAGTTTCCTATTTATTGGGAGATTACTTACTTTAATAGGCTACATTTAAATTATATGTATATGTTGGTTGGTTGTCTTTATTTTATCCTACCTGCAAAATTTATTATTTATTGAAGATAAGATCAAAATAATATATTTAAATTGTCATCATATATATGAACTAATTGGGTAGATTGGTGGTGATAGTTCAAATAAAAAATAAAAGATTAATTTTGAGATGGATTTTTACACATAAATTATTAATATTTAGGAAGAAAAAGAGATAATTGATAATTTAAATGTGAAAATTTCCAAAAAGGGTAATAATACATTAAAGGTAATACACATATATGAGTTAAATCGGATAATCAACTCTGTGTGACGTAAATATTATTTCCTAATAGATTTAAAAAAACTTAATTTTCTCGATTTTTTTCCTTACTTATTTTCTCAACTACGTTACCAAACTACAACAATTAATTTTACTAACATCTAAGAATTTCATCAAGCTCATGTTTTTTGTCTTTCAAACTTATTGATTTAAGATTAAATCGTAATGGATTCGAAATTGTTTTTACATTTTCGAATTTGAGCAACAACTTATAAGGATCTAGAATGAATTTAGCTCTTGAATCACCATTAAAGTTGAGGTTTAAGAAATAATCAAGAAATTATAAATTTTTGTTTTTCTTCTTCTAAACCTCTTCCTCATCTTAACATTTGAATTGGTTGGATATATTATATTTTTAGGGATCTCTATATTTTTAAAATAAAAAAGGATGAAAATGAAATATATTCTTTAAATTTTAAAAAAATGCAATTACACGTGGCAATGTGTGCATTTCACTGTCTATCCCCCCCCCCCAAAAAAAAAAACCCCAATAAAATATGTCTGTAAAACACTAGTACTTAACTATATATAAAAGGAATATACAATATTAAATGAATATATATGTGAAAAAAGAAACAAATTAGGGTGGGGTTTAACATATAATAAATAATTAGGGTCTGAATTGGATAAGTTAATTCACATTAAATTATCCGAAAGACCAACATGACTTTGTTTAAAGCCCCATCTAATCAATAGTTAAGTTTTAGGGGCATTTTTAGATAAAAATATAATGTTAAAGATATTTTTAATTCAATTAAGTAAAAAGAAAAAGTTTCAGCCAAATTTATTTGATTAATGATATTTTGACACTTTTCTAATGTTTATGTAACTTTTGTACATAAACATTTAAAGAGAGACACAAGAAAGTTGGATAGTAAAATAACTCAATATAGAAAGATGTCACCTCAAAGAAAACTACTCCTAACAATCATGAATTATGAAGAAAAAAACTAACATTACTTTATTACTTTGAGCATTAGTGGTGATACAATCACAAAAAAAAAAAATCACAAAAAAAAAAAATTGAAATATTTTGGACAGATAAAGTTAACTCGTTTCATGTCGAAACTCTATGAAAAATAAATATAAAATTACTAAATGGTTCTATATGACACGGGTGTACATGTATCAAAACTGTGACGGATAATTGAATTGAGTAATTCTATATAATAATATAGGATCATATTTAGAAATATTTCTTACGAAGAATTTAAATTATATATACTAATATTACACTATATGTTTAATATATTCAGTACCAAGAGGTGATTATTTTATTTCAAGTTATCAAATCAATCATTATACGAGCCCTCAGATGTAAGTTCACTACTTAAGAAAAATAGGTATTAGTGATGAAAAATTATGTAGCTAAACAATAACAATGAAAATTCATAGTTCATCTTATTTAGAGACGAATTATCTAAAAGTTCTTTAAAAAATACTAAGTTTATAGTTGGTTTTATTTTTTTTAGTGGTACTCGTTAAATTCTAAATTCGTTTTATTTTTTCTCACAAACTCTAATAATCTGAGCTTGTTAAATATTAGGCGTAGACCAAATGTGCTCACTTTTGCAAATGTAGAAGACAAAATTGTTCAAAAATACATTTAAGGGACCATTTTGTCATTTTCTTGCAAGTTCCAATTCTGGCTAATTTTAGGCCTATAAATACAATCTGCCATGAAGCAAGGAAAACATCAAAATATTTACACATTAATTAAGATGGCCTCATTTAAGCAAACTTTGCTCTTTATTGCTCTCTTTGTTGTAATTTCAGGTTATAAACTTGTTGATGTTTTCTTTTTCCTTTTTAGTCTGTTATAAATATTTAGACAATTGACGCGAATATATATCATCATTCTAATCGTTGTTATATATTTGCAGTTAATTTCTCTTTCGATTCGAATAAGATGCAAGTGATGGCATTACGAGACTTACTAGTTGATGTTGCTGAAATGAAAGGGAAATTACTTCGACTTAGTGATATTTCTACTTGTGGGAGTGCTTGTAAGAGTCGTAGTGATTGCAAAGAAGGTGTTATTTGTTCAAATTGTGTTTCACTTGGAGCGTTGTTTTCTCAATGCATGTAATATGAGCGTACTATTACTGGTGAAATATCCTTGAGCGCTCAATCGATAAATTATATATTAATTGCTTAATATCTTTTTTATATTTATTCAAGCATTTCAAATAATGTTGTATTTTTAAAGTTTGTGTAAGAAAATAAATACGTAACCTTATTGATTTTCCATATATTGGGAAACTACCTACTCTAATAGATTGGTTGCCACTTAAATACATGTATATGTTGGGTGTTTTGTGTTTATCCTATGTGCAATTCATTATTTATTAAGATAATATAATTAAAATAATATACCCTAGTTATTACCTTTTTTGAAGAAAAAAAACTACATAATATAAGCAAACATAACTATTTTATATGCATATATAATCTTGCAATATTTTCAACCAATTATATAACATAGCTACGCTAAAAAGATTTTGTAGCAAATATTTCCACTCTCTTCCTATTTCGTTCGCCACTCTCCTCTCTTCCTCGCTCTCTCTCGCTTTCATTTCTCCTCTCAAGTTCTCTTCTTTCCTCACTACAATCTATTGCGTGAATCTTTCTTCTCCCTCCATGTTTTATTATATGGGAAAAGACTCAAATATGTCATCGAACATTGAGAAAAGGTTATCTATGTCATTTGTTAAAATTTTGACTCATTAATTTATGTTGTATCTGTTTGAGAAAAGGTTCATTCATACCATTATTTGTTAACTAAAAATAATTTTATTTTGCGATACCATTATTCATTATGATTCTGCCACGTCTCTAATTTAAGAGAAAAGATTCAAATATGTCATCGAACTTTGAGAAAAAACTCAAAATCATTCTTATAGTCTAA